ATCAGTGTGAAAGCAGATGATTTCCCCACTGACCGGGATAAAGTGGGGTTTATGATAAGCCTGCTCTCTGGTTCTGCAGCTCGTTGGGGCACACCCCTGCTAGCCCAACCTAGTCCATTGATGGACAACTTTGTGGGGTTTTGTGATTACATGCGGATGATGTATGAGGACCCCATCAAGACCCAGACAGCTACCCGGCGTTTGAAAGCTCTGAGGCAAGGCCGACGCCCCCTGCAGGGCTATATCAGCGAATTTCAGCTGCTTAGCCAGGATTCAGCCTGGAATGAGGCTGCGCTTGTGGACGCTTTCCAGGATGGATTGTCGGAGGAGATGCTGGATGAGCTGGCCCGTGTTGATGTTCCCCCGGACCTTAATGGGCTCATTCATCTCGGTCTGCGGATCGACGCCTGGCTGCAGCAGCGAAGGAGTCGCCGCGCCACCCCAGAGACCCGTACTGCCCCCGTTGTGCGTGAGACCCCGGTCCAGAGGGAGGAGCCAATGGAGTTAGGTGCTGCCAGACCTCGCCTATCGGTGGCAGAGATGAACAGGTGACGTTCGGGGGGGTTGTGTTTTTACTGTGGGGACCCTGGGCATTTGGCCGTTTTCTGCCCCAAGAAGCGACGAGGGGCGTCTGTGACTGAGCCTGTTCCGAGACTACCATCTGCTTCCCTGTCGGGAAACGGCACACGCCCGACCTGAAAGGCCTTTTGGGTCGGGCATCCCGCAACACCGAGCCACACCCTTCAGATGCTGCCCACGGACCCCCAAGGCATTTGATTTTGGAGGCGCGCCTGATTCTCCCTAGGTTGCCCAGGAGGATTCCCGTCCATGCCTTGATTGACTCTGGGGCCACGACGAACTTTATGGACGCAGCATTTGTGGCTAAATGGGCGATTCCCCAATGCCCGGTGGATCCGCCGATGTTAGTGGAGACCATTGATGGTCGAGTGCTCCTGTCTGGGCCAATTAAGGCCGCCATGCAACCACTATGTATGGCCATCAGTTCACGTGAGGAGGCCATCCAGTTTTATATCACATCAGACCTGCATTTCCCCGTGGTCTTGGGACTGGCATGGCTCCGGGCGCATGACCCACAGATTTATTGGTCACAGAACTTGGTCACCTTTCCAAGCTTACAGTGCGTGGATCACACCCGCCACATCTGTGCCGGTCAGGTAGAGGGGCCCATGGGGGTCTCATTACCCTCTGAATTGGCAGATTATGCTGATGTTTTCAGCGAGACTGAGGCGGATCTGTTGCCCCCGCACATTGACTTAGTCCCTGACGCGCCTCTCCCAGTGGGGCGTTTGTATTCCATGTCGGACCCCGAGTTGGCCGCGTTGCGGGACTTTTTGGACAAGAATTTGGCTCGGGGTTTTATTTGGCCCTCGTCCTCGCCAGTGTCTGCACCTGTGCTCTTTGTCAAGAAGACGTCCGGTGAATTGCGGCTTTGCTGTGATTATAGGAAATTAAATGCCATCACGGTGCGCAACCGATACCCGCTGCCCCTCATCCCCAAACTCTTGGACCGGCTCCGTGAGGCAAAGATCTTCACAAAACTGGACTTGCGTGGAGCTTATAACTGTCAAAACGTCCTGTCTTGGTGCTTCACACAACAGCCAGCAAGCAGGTACGCTAGACGAACGGCAGTTTAATGCACTCCATTCAGTTCAAAGTCAGCACATAGGAAACGCGCCCGCCCCACCCTCATTAACACCGCCCCGCCCCTCAAGCCACCATCCGCCCTGCTGCACCTGGCCCTAACCCAGTCCTTGCCGTCCTGTCACACAGCTGGGGGCAATCTACAGCTGTCTGTTCCTCCGCCGTAGCTCGTTGGGGCAGAGGCCTCGCCCGGCCATTTCCCCCTCAGCCGTTTGTTGGCCCTTTCCCCTCAGCTGTTCGTCGGCCTTTCCCCTCAGCTGTTTGTCGGCCCTGCGAGGTGCAGGGGGATGACGTCAGAGGGGAGTGTCTACATCGGCGGCGGCAGCAGCGGAGCCCTGAGGAGGATCAACGGCGAACCAACGATGCGGCGACTGGCTCCCTCACCATCTGACCGATGACGGTCAGTCCGAGGCATCCCCAGGACGTTGGAGGCAGGGTAAGGCGGACGGGGTGGCTGGCGGCATTCCCTTACCCGGCTGGGTCAGCCTCGCAGGGCTCGACAATAACCTTGTCAGAGTTCGGTCAGGTGATGAGTGGAAGACGGCGTTTGGTACTCGGTACGGGCACTTCGAGTACACGGTGATGCCATTCAGCCTGACCAACGCCCCTGCCGTGTTCCAGCACTTTATGAACGACATCTTCCGGGACTTGTTAGATCAGTTTGTCATGATCTACTTGGACGACATCCTGATCGGCTATATGCCAAACTAGAGAAGTGCCAGTTCTACCAGACGACTATCGAGTTCCTGGGTCACCGCATTTCTCCCTAGGGCATCGCCATGGAGCCGAGTAAGGTCGAGTCTCTGCAGAGTTGGCAACCCCCACGTCGTGTGAAGGATGTCCAGCGACTTCTTGGGTTCGCCAACTATTATCGGACTTTCATCCCCGGGTTTGCTACCGTGACAGCCCCCCTTACTCGGCTCCTGCAGAAAAAGACTCGGTTCCAGTGGGACGCTCCAGAAGAACGGGCTTTCCAGGCTTTGAAGGAAGCCTTCATGAAGGAGCCCATCCTGAAGCATCCTGACCCGCAACGGCCGTTTGTTGTGGAGGTGGATGCCTCCAACATTGCCATTGGGGCGGTGTTACTTCAGGCGACGATGCCCGGCGGTGCCCTCTTCCCTTGCGCGTACTATTCACGGAAATTGAATCCGGCGGAGCGCAACTATACCATCTGGGAGAAGGAGCTACTGGCCATTAAAGTGGCGTTCGAGGCCTGGAGGCATCATCTGGAGGGGGCGCGTCATCAAATCGAGGTCCGGACGGACCATAAGAATTTGGAAAGCCTGCAGGCCGCTCAAAAATTGAACCAATGCCAGATCCGGTGGTCTCTCTTCTTTGCGAGGTTCAATTTCCGGGTGACGTACGTACCCAGCGGTCACAATCAAAGCGTATGCTCTGTCCAGGAAGCCCGAATATTCCCGAGCAGAAGACAAGCTTCTGCCCAGGACAGTGCTCCCTATTGAGTCTTTTGCTGCGGTGCGGGAGCCGATAGATGTACGGGCTCGGATTCAGGAGGCCCAGCAGCAGGATTGGTGGGTGGCTCAGCGAAAGGAGGAGGTGGGGCCCAATTCCCCATGGACAGTCACGGATGGACTCCTCCACTATCGTGATCGGCTCTATGTTCCTGGAGGGCCGCTCAGGGGACTCATCCTCAGCCAGTGTCACGACAATCCGGCGGCGGGGCATTTTGGCCTGTTCAAGACCCTGAACTTGGTCTCCCGTACCTTCTGGTGGCCCCGAGTCCGACACGACGTCCAGACCTACGTCTCATCTTGTATCCCATGTAGGCAGGCCAAGTCAGCGACAGGGGCCCCACTAGGACTACTGCAGCCCTTGCCGACACCCAAAAGACCCTGGGGGGCTGTGTCCATGGACTTCCTGACAGACTTACCCCCATCTTCTGGATTCACGACGGTGTTTGTGGTGGTGGACATGCTGACCAAGATGGCGCATTTCATCCCATGCCGTGGCTTGCCATCTGCCCGCACCACCGGTCGCATGTTCATCCAGCAGGTGTTCCGGCTGCATGGTCTTCCTGATAGGGTCGTGTCCGATAGAGGGGCCCAGTTCACAGCCCGTTTCTGGCAGGGGTTGATGCAGGCATTGGATGTCAAGATCTGCCTCTCGTCCGCACATCATCCCCAAACTGACGGAGGGACCGAGAAGGTCATCGGGATCCTGGAGCAATATCTGCGCTGCTATGTCAATCAGCAGTAGAACAATTGGGTGGACTATCTGGCAGTGGCTGAGTTTGCGTTCAATAACTCACAGCACACCTCCACGCAGATGACACCATTCTTAGCCAATGTGGGCTATCACCCTCGGTTTTTCCCTCTTTCCCCACTAGACGCACCGGGACCACCAGCGAACGACTACATGGCAGAGTTACAGGCGATCCATCAATTGGTGCAGCGACAGTTAGAGAAGGCCAAGGCTGACTACAAAAGGTTTGCTGATCGGTCGAGGCGGGATACGCCTCCACTAACGGTGGGAGATCAGGTATGGCTGTCCACCAGGAACCTACCATCAACCCGGCCAGCCAAGAAATTAGACCACCGATATGTAGGACCATTCCCAATCGAGGCTGTCATCAATCCGGTCGCTTATCGCTTAACTCTGCCATGTTCCCTGCGGGTACATCCGGTCTTTCACCATTCTCTGTTGGTCCCTGAGCAACTGGCGTGTCCACTCCGCCGAGCCGAACCTCCCCCACCGGAACAACGTGATGGATACAGTGCTCCCGAGTACGAGGTTGCCAGCATTCGGGACTCCCGTTGGGTGAAAGGCCGCTTCCAGTACCTGATTGAATGGAAAGGCTATGGACCGGAGGAGTTCACCTGGGAGGATGCGACCACCGTTCATGCCCCTGCTTTGGTGACCGCCTTTCATGACCAATTCCCATCCCGACCGCATCCGGATCGGCAGACCCGGGGGAAGGGCCCTGCGGTGCGGGATAGTGTCGTGATTCCGTGCCAGCCTGTGTNTGAATGTTTTGTTTAAACTCCTGCTCTGTCTGATTTTTTAACCAATTATCTGTTGGAAAAGTATTCTGTTGTTTTTGTTTTTGAGCAAACTTATCAGGACTGTTTTTGTAATAAAAAGGGGTTGGTTTTCCCAGCCTACTGTTAAAGAGGGGTTTGTTTTTGTGACGCAACAAAGACGGACGTAGGCTGGGACAGAACAAATTTGGTAAAAACTTTTCCTTTTGCCAAATGGGCTAACATGTCTTTCATCAAGAGGAGGGGGTACATATTCTTCACGCTGACACCGTTTAACGCCTTATAGTCCACGCACAGCCTCATCGACCCATCTTTTTTTTCCTTGAAAACCACAGGGGTGGCTACTCAGGATTTTGCTAGCTGGATAAGTTCTTATCAATGTATGCCCTTAGTTCCTTCAGTTCACGGGGGGTCATTGAATACATTTTTGGCTTGGGTAACTTGGCTCACGGTAAAATCTCAACAGCGCAGTCAGTGGTTCTGGGGGGGGCAGGACATCGCATTCCACCTTGCTGAATGCTTCTGCTAGGTCTCTATATTCACTTGGGATGAGTGGCTCTCCCAGCGGTGGACTCACAGCAGATTTCAAGGTCTCCAGGTGCTGCTTTTGGCTCTCACATGGGCTACTGATAAGAGTAGGAGGTGAAGGTCCAGTTGCTAGTCTTAGAGTCCTCACTCCGTTCTCCCACCAGATCATAGGGCGCCATTTGTCAAACCAAGCTAGCCCCAGAATCACTGCTTCTGTCATTTTTGGGATCACCACAAAACAGATTAGCTCCCAATGCTCCCCTATCTCTAGGTGCACTAGCTCAATTAAATGAGTGGCCGGGGCTCCTCCTATGAGAGATCCATCAGCCTGCTCGAACCTCATGGGTAGAGGCAGCAGTCTTGCCCTAATGCGCAGCTTAAGTACCGTGGGGAGGTTGATCAAGCATCGGGTGCAGGCTGAATCAACTAAAACGTTCAAATCCATCTGAGCCCCTGATTTAGGTACCAATAGTTTGGCAGAAAGGGCAAAAGGTGGGATAGGCTGACTCACCATCGGTTCGTCTTCTGCATCATCGCTGTGGTATGGATCAGGTGCGGGCAGGCGCTCAGCTGAATCCTCTTCTAAGGAGAAGAGGTGATTTGTACAACTTGCCCCTGGTTGCCTTCTCTCGCGCTAGTCAAGGTTTTCTCTTTGGCTTCATGGGGGCTGTGGTCGCACTTTTCAGGGGAGGGAAAGGTACCAGACAGTCCGCTGCTCAATGCCCAAGTTGCCCACACCTGAAGCACTTGATCTGGGATCCAGCGGGAGCCCTAATGGATCCAGTTGCCGCAGCAGGTGGGGGGTGCTGTGATGGTTGGTGCCTCACCGGATCTCGCCTTGGTCGGGGTCCTGAAGTTGCAGGCTTGTGGTACTGGGTCAGTTCGATATCCAAATTCGTAGCCAAACGGTACCAATCATGGAGTTGATCGGGATTCCCCCTGCAGATGCACATCTGGAACAGATCGTGGTCAAGCCCTGCTTTGAAGTAGTGGATCAATGACTGTTCAGGCCACTGCCTAATTCGTCCCGCCATTCTTCGAAATTCTCTTACGTACTCTCTTGCAGGCCGGCCCCTCTGCTTCACATCGTGGATGTCCTTTTCTGCTTGCACAGCCTGGGATTCATCTTCAAACCTGGTTCTCAGCCCGCATGTGAATATATCTAAATCCCATAGCTCTGGCGCCTGGTCCTCATGTAGGGCAGCCATCCACTCCGCGGCTTCCCCTTCCAGATTTGCGGCTATAGAATCAATCATTTTAACATCGTCTAAATAAGCACGGCTGTAACGATTTACATGAGACCACACCTGGTTCAGGAAAATAGTCACCTCGGGATCACCATCGAAAGCGGGCTTGAGGGGGATGGATCTGCAGGTTGTCAGTCCCAGAGAGCCTGCAGCAAACCAGGCAACTGGTGTTAGGGTTGATGAAATCCCCCTTGATGGAAGACCCTTGGCGGGGGTCCTGGGCTGGCTGGGCGCCGACGGTCAGGGCTGGCACGACGCTGGTAGCGATCGGGACCAGCTGGGCGTTGGTAGCAGTCTGGTAGCATTCCAAAGAGGTACATAAAAAGTATTGTAGACTTTTGACCTCAACCCAGAAAGGTCTCACTCAGACAAGAGAGGCTCAATGCAGAAAAGAAATATAGTGTTGTTAATGTGTCCAGGTTGACAAGGCATTTTGCTCTGGTAACAGAGAAGAGATATTATCATGGTTCCGATAGATGAGACCAGTAGAAATAAGAACTCCGAGGCAATTGCTTTCCTCAAAGAACACATTTAATGGCTACATAGTATCGGCACGAACAAAGGTGAAACCAAGACTGAAAGTTCCCCCCAAGGTTACAAAGTAACAAGTTGAACTCCCCACCCCTGCAGTGTGTCATAAATCACAATCCCCAATTAACCACTTTGGTGGGCTTTCTAACGGTAGCTTCAGCCCGCCAAAACTTAGGTAACTTGACCTTGGTTACCACAGAACAATTTATTGTTATGTCTAAACTAAAAGAATACATCTTCCCCCTCCCATTACTGTGGCAACCGAAAACGAAGCGAAGATGGCTGCAGCCAAATTCGGTTGAAGGTTGACAGGTATGAGTCTAGATTGCAACTTGGATAGTTAGGTTTTATATAGTGGGTTGGTAGAGTTCCATCATTATCCATCAAAACAATATGTCAGTGTAGTTGGCCAATTGATTTTAAGTTTCTTATTTCCAGCAGTCAGCTGAAGCACTAGATTCTAATCTGAGATGGTAGCCTTGGTGAAACTGAACAGAGTCCGAGACAGGGTCCAAATAAGTATTTCACCATTACTACTTTGCATATAGGATATGTTAGAGATAAGCATATTATAATTTGTGGTGTGAACTGTTAAGAAAAGGAAGAAAAAATTAAGTAATTCTTTAAAATAGTAATAAAATATAAAATAAAATATAACACATTGGAGAAGCTGTTCTGCTTAAAACAATTCTAAAACATCCATTGCTAGTGATTGAAAAACCAGATTAAGGGGGAAGTTGTACTTTGTCTTCTTGTAGTGCTAGAGAAGGAATACATGACACTTAACCTATGTTTGCATATACTTTACAGCAGGCCCTGTAAAGACAGGGCCTTAAGCCTTGGCTCTGGCACACAGAAGTATTCCAGAATTTGCAATCAAAATAATTTTTTCAGTGATATAATGTGAAAATTATTACATTTGTTTACACTGAAACTAACAGTAATTAATTTACTTTTAATAAAATGTAAATAAAAATCAAATTTAAACTTTTTCCTTAGCCTTAGCTATTCTTTTTGAAGGGTAATCTTTGCCATTCACTTAAAAAGCCAGATGTAGCCTTCAACCTGAAAGGTTTGAGATGCCCAGAGTCACTAGGTGAGCAGCAATATATTAATATATAAAAAGCAGATTTGCACCCCTGCTTACAGAGAGGATTCCTTCCAAAAGACAAATTTAGGCTTTCTGTTGCCTCAGAAGAATAATCTTCCTCTCCCCTCTGGTGCAGAATCGAGTTGAAATCAATGATGTGGAACCTGAAGTTTTTAAAGAAATGATGTGCTTCATTTACACGGGGAAGGCACCTAACCTTGACAGAATGGCTGATGATCTGCTTGCAGCTGCTGACAAGGTACAAGGGAAACTTAGCCTTGTAGAAAAACAGAAATTTGGGGAAGCTAGAACAGAGACGGATGCCAACATATTTGGGGCATTTTGGTATTACCCATCTTACAGTGAGGGAAAAAAGTATTTGATCCCCTGCTGATTTTGTACGTTTGCCCACTGACAAAGAAATTATCAGTCTATAATTTTAATGGTACGTTTATTTTAACAGTAAGAGACAGAATAACAACAAAAAAATCCAGAAAAATGGATTTCAAAAAAGTTATAAATTGATTTGCATTTTAATGAGTGAAATAAGTATTTGACCCCTTCGCAAAACATGACTTAGTACTTGGTGGCAAAACCTTTGTTGGCAATTACAGAGGCCAGATGTTTCTTCTAGTTGACCACCAGGTTTGCACACATCTCAGGAGGGATTTTGTCCCACTCCTCTTTGCAGATCCTCTCCCAGTCATTAAGGTTTTGAGGCTGACATTTGGCAGCTCGAACCTTCAGCTCCTGTATAAAAGACACCTGTCTACAGAAGCAATCAATCAATCTGGATTTTTTTGCTGTTATTCTGTCTGTCACTGTTAAAATAAACCTACCATTAAAATTATAGACTGATCATTTCTTTGTCAGTGGGCAAATATACAAAATCTGCAGGGGATCAAATAATTTTTTCCCTCACTGTAATTGTTTTGTTTTTTTACCTCCTCACATTCATAAGTAGGTATGTCTTAAGCTTTTGCTTTTTAGAACCTATATGTTTACTTCCTAATATTTAGTGGAATTTCTAGCATGGAAAAGTGATTGGGAAGGGGACTGTCAGATTTCTCCAATCCCCCCACCCTACAAAAATATCTAAATTATCTCTTATGTCCTCACCGCCTTCTTTGGCTCCTTCCAGTATCTTGGCTTAGTGTCGGGAAATTCACATGCAAAGCCACATGAACAGTGCTTCAATACTTACGGTATTTACAAATGTATTTTACCTTTCCCCTGAAAGATAAGCTGTCTCAGAGACCTCAAGGAAAAAAAGCTGACTTCAGAAAGGGGCTTGTTTGTTTCATAAAGCAGGAAGGGTATACCTATGATTCTGGAAGAAGCTTGAACCTCTCTATCACATTTAATTTAAGCATGGCAGTACCATTTCCTGGTAACAATGCAACCTTAATTGAAAGCAGTCCAGAGTCGTCTTTCCTGTTGTGAAATGAGAGTCCTCTGCTTGAATGCAAAGCCCCCTGTTGTAACCTTGCTTCCTGAAGAGAGAAACACCTGCAGAGTAAGGAATGGCAACTTTTGGGTTCACTTCTGTATTAGATTCTGAAACATTTGCCAATCTTATCTGGCAATTCTATCACCTTTCAGGATGGTAGAAGTGCTGCCCATCCAGGGTAATAAGCACCAGTGCATCTTCTGTTTCCCAATAGGGTATTTGACAGAAGGTAGTTCTGGGTATGAATATCATCCATGACCATAAATTCACCATCCATATCTTATAGCAGTGATGGCGAACCTTTTAGAGACCCAGTGCCCAAATTGCAACCCAAACCCCATTTATTTATCACCGGGTGCTGGGTGGGCGTGGCCACAGTGGTCATGGCAGACTGGGTGGGTGGGGCCAGGGCAGTGGGGGCCAGTCCCTCGCCATCTCCGAGGCATGGCACGCGTGCCCACAGAGAGGGCTCTGAGTGCCACCTCTGGCACACATGCCATAGGTTTGCCACCACTGCCTTATAGCTTGGAGTTGGGACAGGAGTGGACAACTATCTGATTATTAATATTTGGCACCAGCATAAAGTTGACATATACAACACTGGGAATACTTGTGTATAAACAGGTCAGCTTCCCAATATTAGAAGCTGAGCCCTATTGAAATAGAACTGTAGCAAACCTTTTTATAAGTCTCTTGTCAAAGAGGACAGGATAGGCAAATAAGAGCAGTCAGGATAAAGAGCATGAAAAATTCCCACCACAGCACATTCTAACCCACAAATCATCTGTGCTGGTCTGCAACCACCTACCTTTGGTTCACATATAATATTCTGATGTTAAGCCCGGGGGAAAGGTATCAAGCCGTTTGACAGCTGATGCTCGCTTACGGCTTTTACGCAGAAACAGGCGGGAGGCAGCTACAGCTGCGTCCGACGAGGTGAGCCGCCCGGGGTAGGAGTTGAGTTCCCGAGTCGTCCGATGTGGACGATGTAGGTTAGAACTCCTCCGGAGCCCCGAGGAATCTCCGCGATCCAGGACGCCTTCGCTTCGGCGAAGCTAGGAGCCGCCGCCACCGCTGCAACTTAAATTTAATTGTGAGTGACTATATGCAGACAAACCGACCCTGGAAATTTTGTTTCCTATTTTGGACTCTACTCTAACTTGAGTTATTTGGATCTTACCTTTACTTGGGTTGGATTGTGCGAAAGTGAACTTAAAATGGCGATGAATGATACTTTCTAGCGAGATGAAGTGAAAGTGACTTTGATTTCCGGTTTGGAACTTTTCTTACTTTTAATACTTTCACTATACGCTCTGGATTAATCGTTTAAAAGACTCTCATATAGACTGAAAATTTAATATTGTTAATATGGCTTCGA